TCACTGACTCAGCCCCCTATTTCTGGAATCTCTAGTGTGAACCAGTCAAAAGAAGAGAAGGGTTGTTCCAGAGCTGTATGCATTGAGGGAAACATCTCGGAAGGGTACATTTTCAAAGTTTCTTTGACAAAGTTGGAAATAGGAAAGCCAATGGGAAACCTGTGCTTTGGATGTCCTGTGTCACTCCCCCCAGGAGATGCCTGAGTTTCCGTGGGGGAGACAAATGTGGGGATCCTGAGTGAGGGGAAAGGGTGTTTCCCTTCAGGGAGTGCCAACCCCCAATCCAGGTGATTCTCCAGATGCCACCCCTGCTTATAACACTTGTCAATCACCCGGAGCCAGGTGTGGTCCAAGCCACTTCCTGGTCTGTCTGATTTGATCTTGTAAAGTTCTGTTGAGCAGAAATGCTTGTCCTCATTCCCACAGAGGAGGGAGTGAGCCACAGAAACGGTGGGATTGGGCCAAAACCTCAGAGAGGGTGGCGACCGAGCCAGGAGGCATGTTTGAAAGATGACACACACAAACTTCTAGCATCCATCAGAATACACAAGATACCAGAACATTCTATCTAAATTTCTGCATGGCGTGAAACATTCATTTCCAGGGCAGAACTACAGATTCAGATTATGGAATTTACAGAAAAGTCCCTGTCATCGCTGGACTTAAGTCCTCAGACATGGTGAGTGGTCAAAGAGCTCCTTCAGTGTCAGTCTGTTCAGCAGATGAGGGAGGAAGCATTGTTACCTCTTTACAAGGGAGGATCATGTAAGGTGGGTTCATTCACATGAAGTGCTTGGGATAAGCATTGGTCCACACAGCTCTGTATGTAAATGCTTGCTGTTGTCATGTGACCCAAGGCAAGGCCAGTCCTCTTCATCAACATCAGTCAAGGCAGCCTTCTTTTGGAGGGAAAAACACAATTCCATGATTCACTCCATTTCATTTCATTTCATTTCATTTCATTTGTTCTTCAGCATATTGCTTCCGGCCGTCCAACAGCCATTTCCTAGACTTCCAGTTCCAGGTGAGGTGGATACATCTTCGTGTCTTACCAAAGGCTTGGAACCAAGGACAAGATGACCAATACCTCTTGCTTCAATCTTGAGAGTTTGTAGTTTTTAAATACACTTGATTAGATGTTGGGTATCATGCCCCACAGTGGGGCAGGAGAAGGAAATCTTGCCTTTGTCCAGTGGGTGAAGACGGATGGGAAGGAGCATCAACTGAGGGGAGGAACAACCTCTGGCGGAACCGTTGTGGGTCTGGGGTCCTGTGGAACCAAGGATCTGCAGCAGAGTCTGGTGCTGCGGTGCCCACCTCTGAAAGGTCTTCCTGTAGCCCCAAAGACATGTGGGCCAAAGTCCCATGCACCCAGTGGGTGGAAAGAACTTAAGCATTTTCCTAATTTCTCTTTCTCACTAGAGAAGTGAACTGCAGGCAGCTGCTCCGTGGCTGTGGCATGGCCAGGTCCTAGCAACACCTGCTGCTCTCAGCCTGGCCTACCGGTCAGCACCAACATTGCCTTGAACTGAACAGAGCAGACCTCCATGACCTCCAAATCTGCAGCTAACCAGAGCTCCACCTTGGCCAGATCTTACACTCATCCTTGAGGGGAGCTGTCAAAATCCTGATGCCCCAGGCCACTGAAACCAGGATCTCCCATCAAGTGGTCCCCAGGGTTGGTTAACACACCAGGGTACTTTAAACTGTACATGAGAAAATGGTCTGAAGATGTGAGTCTATTTTGATTGCAAGGGCATTTTTAAATACATGACTTTTTTTCATAAATGCATTTTTTTTTCATGAAATTTTGGAAGAGTCTGGAATTTCAATTTTTTTTTACCAAAATAAACTTTTTAAAATTCCATTTTCTAGGAGTTTCTTCAAGCCCCCCCAATCTAATTATATATGCATTTTAATCTAAACATCATAATTGCATGCACTTATGGTATCCACCATGAGATTTCCATATGTGCATAGAATGACCCGATGAAGGTTTACAACCTATGATCACCTCAGACATTTGTCATTTCTCTTGTTAGGGACATTCAAAACCCTCTTTACCACTTATTTGGAAACACACAATTGTAATTATATATAGTTACCCTACCGCACAATAGACTGAAGTTATTCCTCTTATCCGACTGCATACTAAACCTCTCAATTGTTGTCTCTACCTCCCCTTTCTCTCCTACCTTCTTGGCTTCTGGGAACCCACAATTCTAACCTTTTAACTGCTACAGGTTCAACACTGTAGCTTGGACACCTATGGGAGAACCTGCAGATAGCTTTCTCTGTAGGTATCTTGAGCTCAGGAGACCAGGTCTATGAGTCACCGACCAGAGGCAGCCCAGCCCCAGCCCCAGCTCCCTCCAGCAGGCTCCTCTGCCAGTGGCTGCTTCTGCTCCTCTACTCTTGCCTGGGCTGCAAGAGCAGCTGTTCTCCACAGCACAGCCCTGGCCCCTCTTCCAGACTTGTCTCCAAACACTCTGCTACTTTCCAACCCAACTGGTTGACTCACTCCCCAACAGGCCCCACATGCTCATCCTTGATCTGCTATCTTCTGCTCCATGTCTTGCCCAAATTCTGTTCAGTTTCTCAGGCTCATCTGAAATCTCCCTCCTCCATCTGCATCCCTCTGCTGTGTTGCAGCTATGGTAGTCTATGGAACATCTCTCATGGTCCCACACTCCATTCTTCCGGTGGTGGGGTTCGCCATGAGTGCCTTTTTCTGACTCTGCCACCACATGAGTATGAGGAATGTGAGGACACAGTGGGGTCCCAATTACTCCTGTTCATCCTAAGGATCCCTCGCTCTTTCCCTGGGCAGAGGGTAGACTCAGGGCCACTGTGTGAGATTGTCTGAAGCCTGTAGAGTGCCCAGACCATTACTGCCACCTCAAGGATTATTGGGCCTGCAGATTTGTTTCATTAAATGAAAGCTCTTTTAAAATTACTACTCTAAGAAAAGTGGGTAAAACCCACATGATGCAAATTGCCTTGGTCTTTGCCACTTAAATATTGCCTAGAAAGAAAAGAGTTTTTTTTCTTTTTATCATTTGTAGTAATGTTCACCCAGAACTTCAAACACTCGACTCCCTCCCTTCTAAATAATAGCCCTACCCTTCAGTGGGGCCAAAAGGGGTTCATTACCACAGCCGGCCAAACCTGACCACTGACTTCAAAGCAGGGGAGGACTCACCATTTCCGGCTCGCTCTGGCAGCCAGGGCCTGGCCTCAGCTCAAGTCCCAGATAAATGTTCTTTTAACGCAGAGACTTGTGTTAGGGGTTGGCCCATTCCTCTGTTTCCCCTATGAACTATGGGAATCATTTAGTAATTTGCCTTTACAAATCTCGAGCAGTGACCTACAGCAACAGCCTTCCCCGAGGAGGACCTCACCTCAGGGCTATCCACATGTCCCTCATCTCTAGGGTTCTGGAACCACTTCATGCAGCTACTCCAGTCTTACATGCGTGCCTCTGGTCCTTGTCAAGCACTTCCTCCCAATAGGGCTCTACCAACTGACCCCCTTTCCCATTGAGCGTCCATGTGAGTCACACTTCAGGACCAACCATCTTTGAGATCAGTATTTATATTGGTGGGGCTGGAAAGTATTACGGCAGGCTTTATCAAACAGCAGACAAGTCTTAAGATTACTGCCTTCTTAGCCCAAATCATAAGTCTCTGGAATTTTAGAAGGTGTTGTTCCCCTGTCTGCACACTTTAAAAGAGCAGATGGGGGTACCAGAGGCAGTGAGCCTGGCTCTGGGTCTCACCCAGGAGTAGGGTGTTGGGCCAGCACTCCACTGGGTTCTGGATCAGAGCAGGCCATGTGGATATTACACAATTAAAGAGACCCCGGGAGTGTGAGACTTGGCACTAGCTGTAGGAGCTGCTGGGAGGTGTCCCATGGGGGTCTTTAAGAGCACATGGCTGTCTGTTACACTTGGCAGAGCAGATAGCCCTGCAGAGGGGAGGCAGGCAGAAAAGACTTCACTGGGATTTTGTGATGCTGCGGTTGGCCTCGGGCCAGAGCCCAGGGACTCTACATCCTTCTGTAATCTTTGTCTGAGTACCCATCTCACACTGGCAGCTCCCACTCAGCTCCAAGACCTTGCTCTCACACACATCAAATCCATCCCAGAGGACAAACAAATTGTGCTCTCCGGCCAAAAACAACATCAAAAATGTGTTTGCACACACTTGCACAGTCATTTCTTGGTCAATAAAACAACTGTGAGATAGCTCAATTGTGCCACTTGCTTGAAAAAAACTATGAAGAAGATGGCCCCTCAAAGTTAACTAAGAATCCAGAGATTCATCTTTGGTGCTCAAGGTTTCTGATGAGCACTGTGGTTTTACCATTTGTTAAGAAAGGCGTGAATTAGCCACAGAGGAGGAACAGTTTGCCCAATATCTGCGTAAATCCTTGAGATTCTGTTGAATTACACAATACTTGATTTCCTCTAGTAACATGCACAAGCAATTGTCTGAAATCTCCGGTACATAAGACTGCCACCACTACTAGTAAATCCTCACACTGTGTATGCGTAACCCCTCACATGCAGAAAAAAAGCACGAGGCGCAAGAGGAAGAAATGGTCACTGCCAGCCTCTTCTCTATTGCCCCAGTTCATTTCCAAGTTTGTTATTGGTTTTCAAAACCACAGGCTCATAGCAACAAGAAGTCAGCTTTCATATCTTACACCATCCCCAGAGGTGGATGGCTCCTTTATCAACCTTAGGCAGAATCATTACCAAGTCAAAAAATGGCCTCTGTTCCCTTGCTAGTATTTGCTTCAGAGGCATTTACTCAGCCATGTCCAATTGTCTCAAGTATGTGAAATTTTAGACCACAGAATAAGTAAGTGTAGCGGGAGCTGTCTATGTTTGTGGTATTTCAATCCTCTCCAAAAAAAAAGATGTATGAAATTATCAGATTAAAAAAATTCTCTAACCTCAGAGAAAATCCTTATATTTCTTATCACCAGCATATGTTCAGCAGTTTGGGGAGATTTCCCAAACCTCCAGCATCTTGTGGGAAGTATGTGTCATGATGCCATTACTTTGGTGGCTCAGGACCTTCTCCTGGAGTAAGGAAGAAACACGGGTAAGCCTGAAATTGTTGGTGATGAAGAACTGGGAACTAGACATTTATGCAAAAGAAGAAAACAGTAGGAAAATGTTGCTTGCCAACTTTAAATAAAAAGAGCTAACTGTCTTGTCTGAGATGTGTTAACTGAGCACCATGGAGGGATGTGGCAAGCCTGGAAATAACTGGAGGTGGCAGCTCCTTCATGAATGAAATAACGGAAACTCTAGAGTAAGGATACAGGCTTCTAAGTGACAGGAGGAAAAACACTTACATCTTTCTCCCATTTAATGTTGTTTTCTGGCGATTCAGATTTATAATGGCCATTTCAATAGACAATGCGGTCAATTATTTTCAAGAACATCTTTTCATTTCGATGTCCCTTTACCTATGTGTGACAAGACAAAATCATTAACGTCTGAGATCACTTAAGAAAGACATGGAAAATGGAATGAGATGAGTTTATTTTAGTGCAAAAAAATTCTGAATTCTAATGTATAGTGTTCACAAAGTTCACAAAAAATATGTATTACAAAAAACCAAAAACAAAACCTTATGCGCAAATTTCAAAACCTGTTTTTGCACCATAATAAACTGATCTCTCTCTCTTTCTCAAGTATACTAGAGAAAGAGTATATTTTACACGAATAACACATTTCAATTCAGATCATCTAAATTTCAAGTGCTTAATAATCACACATTTCTGGACACAGTACAGTTAGATAATAAATTACTAGAGGGATGGATGGAAAAGAAGAACAGTGTAAGTGCTTAGAGGTTTGGCAAGGGTGGGAATGTTTGGGAAGGTTGCGTCGGAGCAACAGTGCCATCAGGAAGGTGGGCAAAATTGCTGTGGAACACGCACTTCTGTGATTTTAAATAAGTAAAAATACAATTTTTGAGTTATTTTTACAACCCTTCAGGGCATATGGACTATAGACTGTGCTTCTTTAAACAGTGCCTCACTGAACCTAGCCCTCTGGGCTCTGGCTCAGTAAGGGTTCCCAGAGCATGCCAATTACAGAGCATCCGTAAATGCAAAGGTAGGTTGTAAAGATGCTGATAGGCCACATAAGGAGCAGAGGCCAGGACCTGAGCATCGTCCTCCTCTCCTCAAGGAGTGTCTGTCTGTCTGTCCCTCAACTGGCATGGGCAGCTTACCCAAGAGGGCATGAGGCAAGCACATCAATCACACGCAGCAAGGACATCAATTGGAATGGCTCCTTGGTCCTCAGCAGCAATGATCTGCGAATGCTGGGATCAGAGGACTGGGGCCCAGGAGAGACTCCGCATTCTGTAAGGACAGTTTGGGGGAACCTGTCCCAGAACAAGAATAAAATCCACACAAAGAGAAGCCAAGCAGGAGAGACCGGGGCCAGCACTACCCTGGAATGATCAGTTTTGGCAGCAGACAGATTATTATTCTAAATTGAACTCCTCTGTATTGTGTTCCGTAGTTTGCCACTGAAAGAGCCTGGGGCCAGTGAGGGCTGTTGAATGCTTTCCCTCTGTGGCTTCTGTTCTCACGGGGACCAAGAGCCAAGAGTCAAGGAACATCCTCTCTCTTCCAGGTCCCAACATGCACCAGAGAGGCCAAAGAAGCAAAGTGCTGCAAGTACAGGTGCAACAAGGTACTATTCCAGCCCCATCCCTGCCCCAGAACACAGCATCACAGTGGCTGAGGAGGTATTCTCACACATGAACAGGGCTTTGGATTGACTAAGAGTTCCTCAGGAAACACCTCCAGGAAGACCTGTTCCTCTGCCTTCCATCCTGCTCGGGGCACCTCAGTGGCTCCTCAGACATGTGGAGGGATCCGTGTGACCTGGCCCTGGCTACTCTTTGGTCCCAGACATACATGTCCCACTCTGGAAGGCTTCCCATTTCTACAACAAAAGCTCAATTCCATCTCGGGGTCTTTGCGTGAGGTGCCTCCCCAATCTGGAAAGCTCTTTACTGTGTCATTCAGATCTCACGTTTCAAGGTGACAGGTTTTTCCCAGTCCAAGTCACACTCTTCACCATATTTTTAGTTTTTAATGATTTTTTTTTTTATGGAGCCAGTGTAGTGGCACAAGAGGCTAATCCTCTGCCTGTAGTGTTGGCATACTATTTGGGTGCCAGACTGTGTCCCAGCTGCTCTGCCTCTGATCCAGTTCTCTGTTTATGGTCTGGGAAAGCAGCCGAGGGTGGCCTAGATCCTTGGGACCCTGCACCTGTGTGGGAGACCAGGAAGAAGCCCCTGGCTCTCAGTTTTTGGACTCTCTCAGCTCTGGCAGTTGCAGCCATTCGGGGACTGAATCAAAGGATGGAAGACGTTTCTCTGTCTCTCTTTCTACAAAATCTGCCTTCCAAAAATCTTTTTTAAAAAATGGTTTAATTATGTGACAGGCACAGTTACAGAGGGAGAAGGAGAGAGAAAGATGCCTGAATGGGCTCAATGGCCAGGGTGGGGCCAGACTGAAGCCAGGGCCCTGGCACTGCATCTGAGTCTCCCAAATGGGTCACAAGCACTTGGGTCATCCTCCACAGCTTTCCTAGAATTAGAAGTGGAATGGCTGGGACTTGAACTGGTACTTAAGGGAATATAAGCTTTGCACAGGCAGCAAGTAGCTCAATATGCAAAGTCCCAATTCCACCTTCCTCTAAAATCTTATTTGAATTCCTTTAACAACTGCTCCAGTTTGATTTCTCAGTTGTTTATTATGTGTCTCCCCAAGATACGTAAACTCTTCATGGAGAAGAACATTATCTAGCTTGTTTACTGCTACCTCCTCAGTGTCTAGAAAAGTGGCCAGCACATAGTAGATGCTCAGTAAACACTGACCAATTGCAGAATCGGAACACTCACAGTGCGCTCCTGCTGGCAGCCACACTCGCCTTCGCTGAACTGTCATCCCCTCAGTTCTGCAGCCAAGTCTGGAGCTGACTCGTCTGGCCGCTGTAGTCATCCCTGAGCACTGCTCTGCATACGTTCTTTCTGAGGTCATAGCTGGATGCAGCTCTCAACCTCCAGGAGTGTAGACTGCAGGGCAGACAGATGCAGAGGCGGACACGAGCCCACTGCGGGAAGTAAGGAAATGCTGTGACCTAGAAATAACCAACAGGAGTGTGCAGAGTGGGCACTGGGCCACACTGCAGGGTCTGGGACAAATCCCCAGCCCCTGGGGGGGAACCACACCAAGTTCTGACTCCCAGCTTCAAACTCTACTGGCCTTTGTGGGCATTTTGGAATGAACCAGCAAATGGGAGGGTTCCTTGTCTCCCTCTCTAGTATGTCTTCTTTTTTTTTTTTTTAAAGATTTATTTTATTTTTTTTTATTATTTTTTTATTGGAAAGGCGGATATACAGAGAGGAGAGACAGAGAGGAAGATCCTCCGCAAGTGAGCGCAACGGGCCGATACTATGCCGATCCGAAGCCAAGAGCCTCTTCCGGGTCTCCCACGCGGGTGCAGGTTCCCAAAGCTTTGGGCCGTCCTCGACTGCTTTCCCAGGCCACAGGCAGGGAGCTGGAAGGGAAGCAGGGCTGCCGGGATTAGAACCGGCGCCCATATGGGATCCCGGGCGTGCAAGGCGAGGACCTTTAACCACTTGCGCCACCGCGCCGGGCCCTAGTATGTCTTCTTAATAAGACGTCTTCATTTGTTTGAAAGTGAGATCTACAGAGAAAGAGGTAAAAGATGAGAGAGAAAGCACAAGAGAGAGAGAATGAGAAATTTCCACCCACTGGTTTACTCCCCAGATGATTACAAGTCTAAGCTGAGCCAGGCCAACTCTAGAAGCCAGGAGCTTCTTCTGGGTCTCCCAGATGAGTGGCCAGGGCACAAACACGTGGGCCATCTTGTGCTTTCCCCAAGCCATTAGAAGAGAGCTGGGTCAGAAGTGGAACAACCAGGATACATCCATTTGAGATGCCGGTGTCACAGGCAGCAGCTTTACTCACTTTACCACAACCCTGCCTCCTCAAATAAACAGAAGGATATAATCTTTCTGTTACATACAAGAGATTCAGGCCTTGAAGGCAGGGAAAACCATAAAATCTTTAGGGAGGTGCACACCCACCCTCTTGCAACAGTTCACGGATGTGAGTTATAAAAGCAGCCCTCCCCTTTATCTCTCTGCCTACAGAGGTGCAGGTAAGAGGGACAAGTTGAAGCAATGTGCTCCAAAAGGAGGGGAAGCCGGAAACACAAGTGATAGGGAGAGTTTGGGATTATTTGTTCTGTTTGTGCACCCAAGCTAATTAGATTATTTATGCTCATTAAATGGATTTCATATTAACCTGAATGTCTGGTTTGAACATCATCCTATAATCTGCTAAATTAGCAAACTGCCACTCCCATGGTGATTTGCGGTGAAGTGGTTAGGGCAGGATGGAGCCCAAGCCTTTGCATCTGAGGGCAGCCTGGCCAGCAGCAGGCACCTCCCTTACTCTCCCCAACAGGCGCCAACTTGCCTCTGCCCAGCCTATGGAAGATGACATGGGATTCTGAACACAGCCACTTGCAGAGCTGGGGGTTAGGGGTGGGCAAGGCCTGTGGTCTGGGGAATTGGGGCCATCTCTGCACACCCCGAGATTTAGGGGTGCCACAGACCTTGTACTTCAGCTTGGCCTTACAAAAGCAGCATGGCTCACTGTCAGAGTAAAGTGGTTTCCAACTCCTCATGGCTATATTATGGGGCATGGGAGCTGGCAGCAGCCTTGGCACCTCAGCCTCTGGAGTTGACTGATCTGCCCAAGATCAGCCAAGCCTGCTGTCTGCTGCATTCCTGCTGAATACGCTGCAGCTGAAAATGGTAATGAATGCTGGGGCAGGAAACCCCTTGGAACCTCTCTGGACCCATCCCCATGTTTGCAAACAGAGCAAACACATTCCAGTGGGGAGCCCTACCTTGTTCAGAGTTACTTGGGAAGCCCATGCTGCAATCCAGATCAGGAATGTAGCCCCTGCTAATACACAGTCTGGATGGCGCATACCTATTCTAACTTCCCAGG